CCACTGTCGCCAAAGTGCTGCTCATAGGGGGTCATATGATTGTTGGGTTTTTCTCTGTATCTATGAAGCGCCTTGAGGTGACTTTTGTTGTGATTTGACGCTATATAAATAAAATTGAATTGCATTGAATTGAATTGAATTGAATTGAATTTTGATCACTATACAAAGGTTTTTGTACAGTTGCTTCATATGTTGTTTGGTATGTAGTACAAGACTTTAGCTGACATATATACTGACTCTACAATTGTGTTTCCACGTGTGATATCTATTCATGTTTTCTACATTGTGTCTTATCAATGTTGATTTTTTTTTTTGTTTGTTTGGTCTCACCTCTACTAGCGTGTACTGGCAGTGTCCACTAAATCGATACCATTTAGAGTCAAAGGTCTGATAATGTCCGTTTCCATAAACTTGGCATGTTCCTTGACATGGTTCATCTTTGCAGTCCCACTGACCCTGACCACAGACACTGAAAGACAGTCATGACACTATGACAGTTTATGGGTCAATAAAAACTGCGTGAACCATTAAAGTGGCACTTATAAAAGTGTTACCATTTTTTACAGCTGGTTCTGACATGCTGTCCTGCACTGAAGACTTTACCACTGTACACGCAGGTGCAATTGTCCCTAGAAACACAGTTTCCATGGTGATCTTCATATTTATCATCTGGGCAGTAACAGCCACTCTCACATGTCATGTTGGCACCCTGCAAATGAAGCAAAACAGAGCTTAACAAAACTGTAATGGTACAACCAACCAAACCTCTTTTGCATTACATCTACAATTCAAAGACTGGGAAATAACTTACCAGTGGTTTGTTGAGACTGTCGCACGTTTTCTGAGCAGTGTTAACCAAATTCTCTGAACAGTGCACACAAACTGTACCATTTTTGCAGCCTGATAAAATTATTGAGAAAAAATAAACCATAATGTTATGTTTTATTTTAACAATATTCTAATTATATACTTGCTAGATGTGTTGTTCTATTTTGTTAATACTTTTCTAAATGTGTTTAAATCACAGTCATTTGGTTAATATATTGTGTGGTGCTATATGTTTATACTACAATGGCAGATACAGTCTGAGTGTGTTGTAATAAAAGAGGATATACTCAACAGAAGTGAAAAATAGTTGAACTAAAATTAACGAATTAGGTTGTAAAAGTGGGTAAAGACTGAATTATTATTTTTGAAATTGACAATAGAAAATTATGAACTTACCGCAATCCTTAGAACACGTCAGTTGGCCATTCTCACAGAGGCTGCAATAAAAAAATTAAGTAAACCAACATTTTTATAAACTATATTGGTACATTTTAAAGGGTCTAAATAATCCACTCACCATTCTCGTCCTTCAATGACAGTGGGACCTGGTAGCGTTATGCCGCCATGATGATGGCACACACAGTCTGCTTTTAGAGTGCAGGTGTTTTCTAGATTCAGGTATGTTCCTTCTGGGCAGCCACAACCCTCCACGGGACCATCGTTCAAGCTGCAGAAAGGATCAGTTCCAGAGAGGGAGCGGCATGTACGATTGCAAGCCCGAATGTCGTAGAAGAACTCTTGGTTTTTTGGACAACTGAGAGCTGTGACACAGAATGAAAACTAATATTTTTACTATTTCTCCTTCAGATTTTAATATTTGTAGACATTTTAATTTGGGAAATGATCATTTATATAAGCTTCCACTTTACATTTACTGCTGAAAACACGTGAGGTCTAAAATGTTATTATAACAATAGTGGAAAATCATATATTTGAGAAAATGATTCAATCCTTACAAACAAGTTTTGTTTTTCAGTTTTGTAATGATTTTTAATTATTTTCAATAATTATTTAATGTCTCTTTTCAGAGAACTATAAACAAAATGGGAAAAGGTAAATAATTCCTCAGTGGTATATTTATAGAAGGTGAACTCACTACAGTTGGTCGCTTTCCTCCAGTCACCAACTAAAACTCCAAGACTCGCACAAGCTTTGGCATAGTTGTCTAGAGCAACGCACAAGCACGTGTTTATATTGCTGCCACAGTTACAGGTTCTTTGGATACAAGCCTGTGAACAAAAGTTATATCCGTTTGATCTTAAGATGGATATTTCAACATCAGTGAACTCCTGAAAAGTCAGAAATTATTAAGGGTTTGGTTTGTGCCTGAAAGACTTACCGCGTGATATTGATCAGGTGGCAAATGACCATGGCACTTAGAAAATGTCCCAGTTGGCTTGTTCAATATAGAGCACTTTTCATCAGCAAATATTTCTAGAAAAAAAATTCAAAAAACTTCTTCATAAAGAATTTTATACTTTTACATACAACTTATATAAAAAGAAAACACATTGTTATATAAATCTATGCAGCGTATTGCTCAAAATAAAAAAGAATACTATCTTCCTCATCATCTTCATCATCATGGTCATTTAGCTTTAGATCAATTTGTATCTTTCATCAGTACCATTGTGAGTGTTGATGCATGTGTTGGGTATGTTCCCTGCACAAGTGCCCAGACTCCACGACAACGCAAAAGGCTCAGCTGAGTTCTCGACGATCCCACCGCTACTGCTGAAGTCGTCTGTGCTGTCACCGTTACTGTTGCCACAAAGACCTGAAGGCCAGACTGACTGATCAAACTGGATCATTCAAGAAATTTCTGAAAATTTCACTGGTGTGTTTCCTACCTGTAATCATGTGATTTGCAGGAGCAGAGATGTAAAGCTGAATTTCAGGAGACATCTGGATTTGGAGCTTAATGTCAGAGGATGTCTTGACTTGAACATACATGGAGGACTGCCAGAAAACCTGGGCGTTATCTAAAGGGTAACAGGTAAGAGTGCTGGTAAATGTGGCAATGCATTACAAGCAGTGCTGGCTGTATGCAATCCGAACTAACGTACAACTGGAATCCCAAAAGGTTGATTCTGTTCATCTGGACGTAGGGTTTCCAGTGGGAGAAATGTTTCGTCACTTGATGATGTACACATCCTGGACAGGCAGGGACGCTGGTTTGAGTGCGGAGTTAAGGAGGCCATTTACGTGAAAAGGGAAAGACCATCTCTGAATCGAGGAGGGGGCCTAAGGGTGCATCTTTCACCATCTTACAATGCTGTGATTGCAGCCACTCCCCAAATCTCCGTGAATGCTACTCATGGCCATTGATCAGTGGTCATGAGAATTTGAATATTAATGACCAAGGAACTGACCTCCCAGCCCATTGTTCCTTCATTGGTGCTAGTTTCAGTCTTTATGTAAATGTACTGTTTATAAGATTGGGGAAACCTGCAGTCAGCCTAGACTGAAGAAGTCACTTGGATGAGTGACGAAATGTTTCTCCCTCTGAAAATGCTACATCCAGATGAACAGAATCAAGATTTGGGGATTTATGTACTTGGATGATTGAGCATGCATCAAGACATACAAATGGAATCACATTACAGTTTTCAGAAATGCAGCAACGTAGCACCCTACCGTTCAGTAGCACGCTATGTTCAATTTCAGTAACTACACAATAGCTACAATTATGTTGTTAGAAAACTAGAAAGCTGGAAAAATTACTGAGTAACAGAGTCACAACCATCTACAAAGATTCTAACTGGCTCATTAGCACACCTGTGCTACAATCAGCAGATCTGAGTTTGTGTGCTGGGTGAAGGAAAATGGTGTTATAGAGCTTTTCAGGAGAGAAGATGTTTACATTACTCTTACATTTATTGCACAAAAAAAATACACGAGTGAGATGTGATTGTCAAGAGTGAAATTCAAACGGCGGTGGACAGAAACAAATGTGTTAAGCTGCTGCAGTAACACAACATCAGGAACCCAGAATCAAGTAAAATAAAGCCGAAAGCATGCTGATGCCAGCCAATCACTGAACTTCAACAGGTAACAAAGGCAACCAACTTCTTCTACTTACCAGACTTATGAAATTCAGTAATCTCTTGGTCTCCAAATGTAACCATGTTGTTTGTAAATGTATAAACTTCCTGCAAACAAGAAGGGTACATTCAGGTAAGTTTCCTCCCCTTGTTTATCATTTAGATAGTTTTGAAGTCAATGTTCAAGACTGACTGGACCTGGAAGTGCTGAAGCACAACTTTTTTCAATGACGCATCCTTTTCAGAATACTGAATTATCACCATCCAGTTAAGGCCCTGCACAAAGTCATAAATAAATTCAGCAGGAGTTAGTAGAAACAACAAAATGAGCACATATGTTCAGGCTACAAGACAGGTGAGGAGGTTAAATTACCTGTAATGCTGCATATGCACATTTACCCGGGACAGTGTATTGCTTGCCATCAAATGTTGTCACAAACTGCCCTTCAATTATACATTTTGTTGGACACAGGTTTTTGGAGCAACGCCACTTCCCACCCTCACATAAACTGAGGACAGATTTAAGATAAAACATATTGTTCTGTGAACCAAATGGATAGGCAGGATCCATCAAATATGTCATAAAGATAAAACCTTTCTTTCTGGCCACTCACCATGACTGACACTTGGTGTTATGTATATGTCCAGTTGAATAGGTCCTCCCAGTGAACACACATGGGCAGCTGGTCAGATTTATGCAGTGGAATCCATCTGATTGATCATTAAGCACTTCTCCTAGACATATTTTCAGATAAGTCTTAACCCATGGTAAAAAAAAAAACAACAACAACAACAACCCAAATATAAATGCATTATAATCCGAAATGTCTGTTGAAATCTGGCAGTGCTCACCCTTTGGGCAGACACAGGAGCTGGTAATATCCTGACTGGAAAATTGGGGGTTTGGTTTGGAGCAGCTAGGAACAAAGGCAATACCCCGTTCCTGATAAATGAGGTCTCCAGGACAAGCTGGATAAGCTTCATTCACCCATTAAAGAAAGGACAACAGCATTAAGTGACTAAAGTAATCAAATGATCTCTAAAGTCAAGTCCTTGTTTTAGAAAAGAAATAAACATAGAAAAGACACATTTTGACCGAAACTGAACATTTCTACACTGGAATTTATAATTAACATGTATGTCCAGCAGGCCACTCTGTCTTTTAAACAAAGCTTGATGACATAAATGGCAGGAAGGATCTGTCAAGCTGACAGAGCACTAAAGCCAGGTTTAAACAAGTTAATGGAAGGATGCAGGTAGTTAGTGTGTCTGAGCTGGAGGCTAAGGTTAGCAGCCACTGTGACACAATCATGCCAGTGACACAAAAACAAAGAACTAGCTACAGTGACAAGATAGATGTCAGTGAGGAAGTTTGTGATCATGTGAAACTTGTGTCTTTATTTGTGTCCAGCAGTGTATGAGTCTTGACAACTTCCTGACCCTAGAATGGGCGCACTGCATTTACTCTTTTCTATATGTGTGACCCTAATCCATTCATTCATTTTTTGTAGTTTCAAAAGAGGCATCAATAACAACTCATAAAGCTGAAGTCATAGCCTTCTCTTTACTTGCTAGAAACCTAATACTTTTTACAAAACAATGCCACCACCTCACAGACACTTGGACAAGATAACACTGCATGTTGAACTGAAATAAATTAAACACCCTGCTGTGGTGTCCACCTAGAAAATCCATGTTTCCGACGTTCATTGATATTGTGATTATTTTTGTAATACATTTTGTAATTTGTAATACAATGTAGCTACCTCATAGGACCTCAACTCACATTTTTTCTTTTTTTTCTTTTGATTGGTTATTGTTGTTCCTCTCATTGAGTACCTTTGCGTACATTTGAGTAAGAATTGATCACTTACCACACTGGGTTAGAGATCTCCAGTTGTCCCACACAGTACTGTTTTTCCCACAATGCAGAGCAATCTCTTTGAAGAAAGCACAGCCGATGTATTTGCTTTTCTCGTAGTTATAAAGGTTCTTTTGACAGAGTTGGAAGTAATTAGGCCAACTTGACTGCAGACAATCCAAGGTGTATGAGAAGAATAGCTTGCATGTCTGAAAATATCATCAGAAGAACCATCTGAGCATTTCAAACTAGACGCAAGATTCAAACTGTAGTATGGCATCTACAAGATTAAAATTAATAATGCAGAAACATAATATTGACAAATTGATTAACTTTGAAAAATGAAAAACACATTTGTAACTAAATAATTTCACTTTATCACTACTCAGTCACTACTTTATAAGTAGACACAGAGAAAACAAAAAAATGTAAACCTACTGGATTAGGAACAAAGGCAGGATCTTGAATTTGGCATGTGCTGTCAGCTATCACACTCTCTGTAATCAGCTGCTGCTCATTACCTAATTAAAAAAAATATACCCACAAACAACAACCCCCAACATAAAAAAAACCCTTGACATCAAGAAACATTTACCAGTCAAACACGTTATATAATCATCAACAGTAATAAGAGCTATTTATACATAGTTTGTAACCATCAAGACTTTTACTAGTAATAATTATTCAAGTGTACTATGTGAACTGTGAGGTAGCTATCATACCCGTTACATTGTGTTTTCCACACAGTCCAGTCATGTCAGTGCTCAGCTCCTGCTCTAGCTCCACCTTAACAGCAAATGATGCAGAAGCTTCAGGAATTTTTCTTGACTGATTTATGAAAATGTAAGAATGCGCAGTATATAAGAGCTCTCACCCAAAGTGTGTCTATTCCTCCAGGTACACTGTGCCAGGTTACAGACAGAGGAAGCAAGGAGCTCCTTAGTCTAGTGTAGATGCCATACTGGAAAATATGCTGATAGGTGTGGTCATATGGAAGTGAAACACTGTCAACAAACAGACATGCAGAGGCATCTGTTTAGAGGTTGTATATTCCCATATGGAAAAGATATATATAAATCTTATAAAGTTTGTATCTGTCTTGTGTGAAACTTGTATAAAAGGATACAAGAGTGAAAACAGATATAAGATCCCATGAAATATTATATAAATGAAACTTGTATGTTTTGGATACTTACTAAAACAATATATGAAAGTAATGAGAAAGTGGCCACTTTCATGAGTAAATCATATAAGCCTTATATGATTCACTATATGAAGCAAGCCAAATCTGATGCAAGTCTTTTTGTCATGGTCCGCGGCCCGGTGTCCGAGGAGCTGATGGGATGCCCACGCCCACGGGTGTGGCTGTTAACTCCACACCTGCATCCCATCTCAGGCAATTATCAGGTGGACTATTTGATCCAGCCCAGCCAGCTGCTCCACGCCAGTCCGTTAGTCGTCTCACAGCGGTAACGTACACCCACGGGAAGGCAGTTGTGAAAACCCTCATTTACCTGAACAAATGCTAATCTTTTCCTTTGCGCTCAGGTAACAGCTCGGTGTGTTTTTGAGCCACTTGCCCGTCTGGAGTTTGGATCGCCTCCGGTACCAATCGCCTCTACTTTCCTGGAGCTCCCCCGCAGATTCTCACCCCTCCCCCCGGCTCC